TCTTCTCTGGCGCAAGAAGTTTTCGTGTGAGTGACAGCTTTGCAACCCTGCTGTCGAGCTGCTGTTCTCGACAATCTTACTCTTCTGTCCTCTGCGTCGCAGGTGGATGAAGAAGCAGCTTCGCACCGAGTACGCGATGACCCACCAGGCTCTGACCGAGGACGACCAAGAAGTGTTGAAGGTGATGGACCTTCGTCTGGAGTTGAACGAGGATTTCGACCATCTGGTAAGCTCTCCTTAGACCAACAGCGTTTTCGTCGAGCATGTGTTTTGTCGCTTACGTATGTTTTGTACCCATTGCAGACGACGACGGCCTTGTCAAGCCCCTATCAAAACGGCGCGGCAGCTCGTGTCGTGCATGGGGTGCGCCGGATTCTGTCGAAATGGGACGACTTCATCCTACAGCCTTCTTAGAAGGGCCATCTTACCGAAGCTTTCGACAGCGTGGGGTTGGTCCGCATCTCGATGACGTATTTGTCGAGTGGGTACACGTCAAGCGCCCATTTTTGGAAATCCATGTCCTTGCACAAACCGGACATCTGTACATAAGGGTGACGCTCGCAGTCGCAAACAGTCACTCCGTCGAAGGGGTGGTCGTCACAATGGACGTAGTACATCGCAAGATCCTCGGCGATGGGCATTCGGACGGCTTGCAGGGCCTTCAAGAAACTTTTCGCTGCGAAGAACATATGCTCCTTGTCCTGCTCGTTGTTCCATTCCATCGCCTGAACAAGAACAAACGTGGTGACATTGAGAGATAGATGGGCAAAACTTGCATTCGATGATCACGCTATGCGCTCGACGCATCCATACCTCGTCGAGCCACTGCTCCGCCTCTGGAAATATGTGCTCCTCGATAGCCTTCAAGACCTTCGCGGGTACTTCGCTCTTCGATCTTCCAAGGTAATAGTCACCCGGTTCCGTCGTGAAACCCGCTTGCAGCTGGATGGCCCCGCGCGGGATGCCTGTGACGTATGACCTGCGCATCTCGTTCATGTCCCATTGACCCAGCTGCGCGATGTTGTCGAGTTCACAGTTTTTGTCGGCGAGGATCTGTGCCGCAGACCGTCGAAAGATATGTGTGACTTTCGACAGGATCCACTCCGCGCTTTTCATCGCCCAGGTAACCCATTTGGCATGAGTCGCGTACGGCAACTCGGTCTTGTCTTTGTCGAAGAGGGCGAAGAACAGGTGCTTCTTTGACCAATTTTCCGGGTTGGTGAAATCCAAGGGGGGCACGATCTTATCGTTGTTGTAGTAGAGCGGCACAAGGTCGAAAATGAAATGTATCCACATGAACACTGCTCCGAAGTCGCACTGCCGGAAGTCCATGTGTCGAGTCAGGTATAGGTGGCCGAGCTTGTTGTCTTTGATGGTCTTCGAGTTGCGATAGGCGACCACGAGAACGTGGATAGACGATTCCCCCTTGCTGTTCGTGATGGGCGGAAGGACGTGAGTGAACATATTGCAGTAGCGGATCTCGCGGATGCTTATCCCCCTGCCCAGCATGTGATGCGCCATCAGGATCATCACCCTCACGGCCAAGGCCCTCCACAGCGACTGACTGGGGTAACTCATCGACTCCCGAAAGTACTCCTTGGCCTAGTACGGCAAGATGTCTGAAACGAGAATGCGGAACTGCTCCTCCATGTAAACATCGTCGAGCGAGCCCCAGTGTGGATCGACGCACTGCCTGCATTGAGTGGGCAGATACAGCGAGTAGTTGGGTGAGAATTTGAGTGAAAAGTTTTAGAGTCCGGTGTATGGCAGCCTACTTACTCGAACTGAAAGTCGTGCAGCTACCACAGCTTGACCGCAAGAAGCTGCCGGGCCTCGGTGATGTCGTCCAAGGGTTTCGTTAGTGGCTCGTCGAAGAGTATGGCCTCTACTCTGCAGAAGCACGTCAGGGCAGTAAGGCGCGCCAGCATCATCGGAGGGGTGCTTTTTTTCGCCTTCCTTCCAGCGACTCTGGTCCGGCCTGTGTCCAACGAAGCCACCTGTTGGTCGGTTTCACTCGACATGTATTCGACGTACGCGCGCAAGCGCCACTTTGTTATTTTCGGCCCATGCAGGTGCTCCTCGTTACGCAGCGCCTCCCTCCATCTCGGCCCCATATCGTCGCCGATCTCCCTACCGATCTCGTCCTCGTAGATCACCTGCTCCTCTTTAGGCACTCCGTTGCTTCCCTCGGGTGCCAGAATTTTACAGGCCCAAGCTTTGTAGTGCATGCTTCCAGAGACATAGTTCGGCCGTGTGGAATCCTGGTCAACTCCCAGCAGCGGAACCTCACACCGGAGAATCCTGCTTTTAAGTGTTCCGGTCGCCAAGTACGGATTGTCTGCGCCCAGTTGGTCGCCGAGAATGTGCGCGGCATCCTCCTCTGAGATATTTGCCGCAGCAGGCCGCAGAGGGTCTGGCGGTTCGACATCGTCCGCCTCCTGCTGTTCTCCCGTCCAAACATCGTCATCGTCCGTCGCTTCAGGGACGTTCCTGGCTAAGTCCTCTCTGCTTGGTCTCGTCGAAGTGCGCCTAGGAGCGGCGGGGCCGGCTCGAGAAGCGGATGTGTCCGGCAGGGGGTGGTTGGCGAACCTCAGGCGGAACAGCCCTCGCTCTCCTACGTCGCCCACCTGTCGAGGTCGGTGCACCAGCTGAAGGTTCCGTCGAGCGGTGGGCTGTCGACGATGGTGCACGGTGAGCAGGAGCCTCGTGTGTAAAGGAGGCATTTGTTGTCGAGATGGGTTCTACGACAACAGGTATGGATTGACCTGTCGAAGGGAATTCGGTCTGTGCACCACCCACTTCAACAGTGACCGGAATACCCGTCGAACGCTGGTCCGTAACAACCGGCTGTATTACTACCGGTATGGCTCGCGATGTCGAGGTGGGCGCTGCCACCTCCGGTATGGCACGCGTCGTCGAAGGGGGCGCGGAAGAAACCGGCGTGGCTCCAGACGACGAAGGGGGTGGTGTCGAGATGGACTCCAATTCGACAGGTATCCGTCCTACGTCCGCCTGCCGGGAAGGCGCTGTCGTCGACGGATCGGTCTCCATCAATGCCCACCGAAGGCTAGCAGTTCTCCCTAAATCCTGGCCTGCTGAGGAAAGTGTGGTGCTTCTACTATGAATTCAGGTTTATACAGTGACCTTGGGCTGATGTTGCTCCCGGTGGAGACTGAGACATTTGACGTGGCAGTCAGCAGTTGACGTGAACGTTTGACTCCGACAGACGTAACCCGTCGCCCATCCGACAGCGACAGTTCGGTCGACCGACGAGGCGACAGGTCGGCCGCAGTTGACGTCTCTGTTGATTGTGACAGTTGGTATTTCGCAACCGTCGACCGTCAGCGCCACCGTGTGGGCGACATGCCACCGGGTGTAAAAAGTGTTGTCGGGGGTGCACGGTGCTCGACGGCGATTGGCCAATGTCCGTCGAGCACTGTTCGACAAATGTCCCCGAAATTGCAACAGTTCAGCCGACATATATATGAGAATAAGAATACGACATTGAACCCGCGGGTTTCGGAGGGTTTTTTGGCCTGGTCAGCCGGGAATTTCTGGGGGCCCGGAGGGATTCGTAGGGTTTTTCGTTTTGCCTCAATTCCCTTTGTGCCAGGCGGGGCGGGGCGGCATGTGATGACGTCACCCGTGTGTATATAATTGGGTTGTTTTGGGGCTGCCACCGAATGAAAGAGCGAGGAGGGGACAAATCTCATCAGGCATTCGCTTTTCGGCCATGGCAACATCGACTCTAGGTCGTCGCGAGACGACAGTTTACATCAACAGACACATCGTCGAGTATTACTGTACACCCGATTAGACTTCATCAGAAACGGACGGTCTGATTGTGCTTGTCCAGTCACATTTCTGATTGGACATGGTCACCGATTCCATGGTAGCATTCAATGTCTTCAGGCGACGCATCGGCGGTCCTAGGATGGCGGGCAGCGTCTTATGCGATAAGCATGTTCGTCAAGCACTCTATCTATCCCATACGACTGAGCATGATTGGATGTAGAGAACGATGGTCACAATTGCAGAAGCCTCGCATGGCACGGGCATTGGGAACACGTCGCATAGCGTCGTATGAATCGGAAAGCGTCGCATGTTTGGCCTGATAATATTTCATTGATCACGATCACAGCTTACTTAGCGATCACAGTCTTGTTAGAGTCAAGTAATCTATCGGGAGAGTGTTCCGACCAGCCTTTCCGCCTCGCGAATATGAAAATGAGTGAAGGTACTATTGGCTGGCTTTAGCGAATTCGAGAAGATTTTTGCAGCAACCGACATCAATTACCGGAATACTCTCGAATCCCAGTTGGTCCGACGAGCTGTGGATCTGACGGTCGTACGAATGTGGCGAGACCGCAGGGTGCGTCACAGATGACGGTCGTTTGAATAACAATAGCTTCGGGATTGAGCGGATTGCATCACACATGGACATATCTCTCACTCTTGCTCCTGACGAGCTTCTCTTATCTGTTTTCAACCGTTTGTTTCAGTCCCACCTGCCCAACTGCTGTCTGCTGTGTGCGGCACGTTGTCCATAGAGAGGTCAAGATGGGTTAAGGTGGTGGAGCAAGAATTGCCAAATCGGAAGCAGCAAGTTCGTTTCATGGCTGCTGGTCAGCAAGTGTGTGTGTGTGTGTGTGTGTGTGTGTGTGTGTTTTTTTTTTTTTTTTCCGACGTGACCGTTGAGCAAGCTGAGCTAAGGGCGGGTACAACCATCAAGGTGGCTTCCTTGGAGAAAGTGAGCAGTTCGGGGAAGATACCAGTGCTAAATGTGCTACTGGTGTGCCTCGTTCGTCAAGCTCTCTTTCTCCTAATCATCCTGCTGCTGCAACTGCTGACCAGCAAATTCCCCTTTGAACTGATTCACTGGCTTGCCTGCCACATTCCTCTCCCTGCTCCTCGCTCCATCCTCGCCTCCTCTTCCCCCATGCCACCCCAACTTTTTTTCGTCGCCTCTCTGTGACTGCTCACGTGCACCCATCGCGACCATGTCAACAGAACCCGAGCGCTTCTTCCCTTTCCACTCCTCCCACCTCTCCTCTGTATCTTCCATCACCTGGCTGCAACCGTGCCGGCCACAGAGAGCATGGATTGCGCGTTTCCTTCCCAACGCGCGGCGCCCGCTGTCGCAGGTCCTACTGGCGCAAATACCAGCTCCGCCCTTCTCCGCGAGCCCAGCAGCAGCGTCCATGGGCGTGGTCCCGGGGAGTCGCTTGCGCCGAGAGAGCGGGAGAGGCAGGGGCACGAGCGTCGACACGAGAATAGGTACGTGAATAGGCATGGGAATAGTTATGAAAATAGGCATGAGAATAGGCACGAGGATAGATATGAGCATAGGCATGACTCCAGGGGTAGGGAGGGCGGCAGCGGGAGGTGGCGGAGAGGGAGTGAGAGCAGCGCGAGTGTGGAGTTCGCGGGTGGCCCTCATGTGGGCGCCATGATTTCCCCGCGGGGCAGCAGCTCTGCTAGCACGAGCACGAACACGGGCAGGGGCAGCAGCGCGCATGTGAGCCACCTGGACGCCGCTCTCATTGGCCCCAGTGCTGCTGCGGCGTTCACTGCTGATGTTCACGCCATGGCCGGGCCTGCTGCCCTGCGCAACCCCGGGCTTGCTGTGCATGGTGGCGCTGGTGCTGGTGAGGGGGAGGGCGGGAAGAGCGATGCTGGCTCGTCTATTGCTGCTGCTTCTGCTGCCTAGCTACCCTCCAACACCACTGGACCCACCACCGCAAGTGGCAGCAAGAGTAACAGCAGTGCTGCTGTTAACAGCGGGGTTCGCAACAGAGGCAGCAGTGGCAAGGGCGGCGGTCAAAGGCCCAGCAGTCGCAGGCCGAAGGCTCAGATCCGCATCGACCGCATTCCATCGGACACCTCCGCGGAGACAGTGGCGACGTTTGTGCGAGACACACTGGGCGTGATTGTGGACCGCGTGAAGATCAAGGGGTACACCCGCATCCGCGCCCTGCCCGCTGGCAGAGCCACAGCAAGCGCAGCCAGCACAGGGGGGGCAGCAGGCGCAGGGGAGAGAGCAGTGGTGGGGGGGACGCGGTACCGGGAGGAGTGGGTGTCGGCAGGGTATGGGTACGCAGACTTCCTCACAGCAGAGGTGGCGGAGTTTTTGATGGCGAGGGAGGAGGCGCTGGTGCTGAAAGGGCAGCAGCTGGCACTGCAGTGCACCATGGAGCAGCGCCGCGAGCCTGAGGGGCTGCTCTCCCACGCCAATGTGCACCTCGGCTTCATCCACCAGCCCGGCCAGCTGGCGCTGACGTGACGCTCCAAGCCCGAGAGCTGCTGCGTGGAGTTTGACTTTCTGAAGAGGCGCGTGCGTGTGGTGGTGCAGGCAAAGGCGGGTGAGCGGGGGAGGGGTGGTGTAGGGTGGGGAGGCCGCGCGGCAGGAGAGGGGGGTGCAAGGGAGGATGCAGGTGCAGCGCTCTGTGGTGGCTCCCTGACGTCCATCCCCCTGGCGTTCCAGCGAGTGGAGTACAAGCTGGAGTGGCGCATGCGGGACGTGCGCCTGTGGGGCACCAAGGACGGCACCCCCCGCGACACAGACGGGCCCGGCCTCACCTCCTTGCTGCTGCTGCTGCTCTTTGTGCCGCCTGCCGTGTTCTCACGTGCATGTGACGACGACGTGTGGCAGCTGGAGCCCGACAGATGGTTCCCTGATGATGGCGACCCGTGGACCCGAACCACTGACGAGCACTTCCTCCCCGCGGGGGCGAGGGCGGGCGCTTGTACAAGCGCAGCAGCAGGCGCGTGTGTGGGCGTTGGGGATGATGGAAGGGGAGGTGCTGGTGCGAGGCGGTGGGACAGTGGGCCTGGTAGCAGTGGAGGCCGTGGCGTGAGTGGGTGGAAGGGGCGGGTGTGGAGTGGAGGGGTGTTGGGAGCGGCGTCGGTGATGCAGGTGTCAGTGTCGGTGCGGCATGGCATCCATGTGAGGCGCATAGCAGAGCACATGCGCACTGCATTGCTGCACCTCAGAGCACGCTACCTGGGCAACCCACCGCGCGTCGCCATCACCGCCCACTATGCTGCCGCCCCGCCCATCAACCTCATCCTTTTCATCTCTCTCGACCCGTCCTCGCTCCCCAATACCACCGTGCCGTCACCACCCCAGCTGACAGCACCAACACCAAAACTACCACCAGCAGCAGTGGCGGCAGCAAGGGGTCTGCAGTGCCAGCTGTGCTGGCCTTTCCAGTGCTGTACCTGCTCACAGCGCTGGTACAGCAAGGCACAATCCCCCCCACTGCCGTGACTGCCTCCTTGTACCGCACTCCGGCGTACGAGCCTGTGCCCGCTGCCGTGGCGGTGCTGATGGAGTTCCTCCGCTTCTCCCGCCCTGAATTCGACCCCGCCAGGAAGTTCTGCCAGATCGTCCGCGCCATGCGCCACCACGGCAGGCTGCAGACGCGAGGAGGCACCGATACGGGGCGAGCCAAGGAACCAGAAGGGACGCGTGAGCACCAGAGTGAGAGGGGAGCAGAGCAGCAAGGGTCAGTTATGGGAGAGTTGGAACTGCAGCCGCAGTCGCAGCAGGAACAACGAGACACGGAGGAGAAGGCAGGGGAAGCGAGCGAAGGGGAGAGCAGCACGTGGCCGTGGAGGCTACCAGCGAACCACGTGGTGGTGTTCCGGCTGCTCATCACACCGCTGGGCGCGCAGTGCTGCTTGCCGGGCGTGGAGCTGACCAACCGCGTGCTCACGCACTACCGCCCCCACGCGCACCACTTCCTGCGCGTCACCTTCACGGACGAGGGCCTAAAGACCCTGTCACCCTGACCCTGACCCTGGCTTCAGTCAGCGGCAGGGAGTTGACGCGCATAATAACATCCGATCGCATTGAATCGCATTGAACCACATTCGATTTTTATTAAATATTTATATATATATATATTTAGCAGTGGTTGCACATGATTAAAAGTAACCTCAACAACGTAGGCTGATAATCAGGGTTTCTGAAAAGGCTACACTGCTAATCAGAGAAGTCGAAATCCAAATGTAGTCCCCGTTCCATACCCGTCTGAGCTCCTAATCATGGCACACAAATGAACTTGGACCCTACACTCCCAACACACTTCTTCTCATCGTACACGTAATATTTTGAAATTGCTCCATTGGCAGCTCCACCATAAAAACTGTAAGCACCTGAGCATGTCAATGATGGTGACACTGGCTTTTGCCTGCCCTTCTTGCATATGCCAACGACGAATGACCAATACTCTGCCCTTAGGCAAATCTGAAGGGCGACATTTACAAACACAAGAAATGAAAAAAAAACATGTATTGAGAGAAAGAGATAGGCACACACTCAACGGGCAATCAAGGGCAAATAGTTGGAAAAAACACCACGCTGGCATATGAGAAATGACTCCTTGCCCCAACATCCATCAAGTATACGTTTAGTCCATCCACCAATCTTCCCTCCATTTCCCTCCCATCTCTTGCGCCCCCAACCCAGTTCACCTCCACCTCTCACCTGCACGCCAGTGTTGCTGCCAACAGCAGAGGCGGAGACCGGGATGACACTCGAGCAGATGAGGCCGGGATTGTTGCGGTACAGCTCAGCCCAGCGCACAGCGTTCACGTTCCCAGCCCCCGTTGGGTCGTCCTCACTCCCCGCCTCCAGCAGCAGGCGTTCACACGTGTCTTGTGCTGTAAGCACGCCGTAACGTAGGCACCGAGGCACAGTGAAGGCGAAGGTGGCGTTGCGCTCGACGCACAGAGAGCGGCCCGCCTTGATGGGCTCAGAGTAGTCAAGGCCGAGATTGAGTGCCGTGAGGTTGCTGGTGGTGAGGAACAGCTGTGCACTGATGGACCAGCATGTGTCGCCCTGGAGGGTTGAACAACGGGAGAGAAGGCACAGATGCTTGAGGTGAATGAAGCGCAGCTTTACTATGCGACAGTCTTGCGGAGCTAAGCAAAGCAGAGTGGGGAAACATAGAAAAATAATTTGATGAGATTCCATTCAACGAATAAAAACAAAAAGGGCTAACTCTCACACTAAGGGTGTAGAAGAACGCAGTGCAGGGAACGAGGAGAGGATTTCCCAGCTGAAGCACCATGTTACGAGGCAAAGCCTGATTGCAGTCAATGCCCTGCAATGAGGAGCACACACGATTCTTTAGTCACCACTTCAGGGGATGGCACATCGTTTGCATGACGAATCAGGAAGTAAATGGACACAGGAAGACAAAGCTATGAAGTGAAGGTGTAGCAATATTGCTTTTGTGATTGTTTTCATTTCACACATTGACGATTTCATAAACTGTAGATAAGCAGCTATGGGACTTAGAATTCCATTGTGAGGAATCAACCACTAGCCTTGCCTGCCAATCCACTCTTCGAGGCCCCCCATCTCCATTGGTTACCTGATTCTGCTGTGTTGGGGAAGTGAGAGGCCCACAATAGAGAGGACAGCGGGGCACCACCAGTTGCTCCCACTCACGGCCAGGGTGCTGGCTGTGACGTTGGCTGGAAAGCGATGAATGTGAAAGCAGGAGAACACACACGCATAAGAAAGTAATCAAGAAAACAAAACTACTAGTTGTGTGTGCATCACATGAATTGACAGTAGAAGAAGTGTGCACGGGTTGTAATGACCCCAACATATGATTCAAGAAGAACTGAAAGAAGTAGCGACCCTCTTACAAACGATGCCAAGCCAGCAGCACCTGGGTCGCAGGTGGGGAAGCTATCAATGATTGTGCTTTCAACGTAGTTGGGGGGGCAGATGCAGGAGTAGGAGCCCTTGCCGTCGTTGATGCAAGCGCCCACGTAGCATGGGTTTTTCAAGTCAGACCCACACACATCCACTGCCAAGCGACATAAACACAATTGTGGAGCACAGTGGTGAGAGAGATACATGTGTTGGGAGCAATGGGAAGAGTAGGGGGAAGGAGAGATAAAACTACGAAAAGATATAGACAGGGACTTGGTTGAAAGAATATCTGAAGATCAAACAAGCCCATTGTTCCAAAAACGGCCATTGTTTTGACAAGGGCCATGAATAAAAGTTATCATTTGAGAACTTGAACCAAACAACTTACAGTAAGCACACGTTTGAGAGCCATATCCGTTTGCAACTTGAACAAATGGCTGATTAGATTCGTTTGGAATGGAACAGTCACACGAATTGCTGTTGCTCCGTAAGTTAGCGTGGCATGTGAACCGCCCACACGGATTCATGCTGGGCTGCAGGTCACCATCACCCTTGAAGCTCCTCTGGCCGCAAGGGTCCTTGGGGACTGGAGGGGGGTACAGATAGGAGCAGGAGGTGTAGAAACAGGCGCGAGTGCAAACTCATTGAAAACGACCATGGGCAGGAAAAGGCAAGCCTTAGGCAAATGGCAGGTGTGAAATCTGGAAACCGTGAGTTGGCGATTGGTGACTGGCTCACACTCTCTTCTCTCTGTTGACAATGCCTCCATTCCACTGTGTTCCATATACCAAATTTGAGGCCATCCCCTAGACTAAAGGCTAATTACATAATTCTTCTGTGAATTTCACCCTGCCCCAAACACCCTGTGATGGACTGGAAGGGGGGGACTGAGATATGGAGAGAGCGATGGGGGAAGGTGCCCCATTTGAGACAATGAGGTAGATGCCTCACTCAACACCTCGAGGTAGATGCCTCACTCAACACCTCGAGGTAGATGCCTCACTCAACACCTCGAGGTAGATGCCTCACTCAACACCTCGAGGTAGATGCCCCACTCAACACCTCGAGGTAGATGCCTCACTCAACACCTCGAGGTAGATGCCCCACTCAACACCTCGAGATAAATGCCTCACTCTTGACAATGGGGTAGATGCCAGGCAGCACGTTGATGCCACACACGCCATCCCCTCCCTGAATGTCCATGCGCATGTGGCCCCGGTCACCCCACTCCACTCCCCACGAGTTGCGGATGATCCAAAATGGAGGCGCTATGCGATTTTGGCTGCCGTCATTTCTCAAGATGAAGTATCCGATAACGAGTACAACATGGTTCAGTCTGCCGGTGTAGCAACTAGGATCCTGGTACTTGAAGGTCTGAAGAGAAAGGGGGCACCACAACAGTTATGGAGGGATGAAACAACAAACAACAAAGTACCACTTCAAGCATACAGGTTAATGCTGGTAACAGCTTGTGTACAACCCTGGGTTGGTTTTTGGCATACAGGTAATGCGAACAACAACTTCTGTACAACTCTTGACAACTTGTGCACAGAATGAAGGGTCAACGCAAGAAACACCCACCCCGTCATATTGTGCAAAACTCAGAGCAGAAGCCTCAATGTGAACCACCACTGGCTGTCGACCCACTGCCAGCATGAGCCCCACAAACCCCTTGAACCTTGTGCGCTCAAAGCCATGAATAGGGTACTCCTTTTTCTGAAGATGAACATTTCATAGGGGATTTAATTACGGATAGGAAGGAAGAGAAAGAAACATAAAAGGAGGTCACAATGGAAAACAAAAGTTTGCTTGCGGAAAATGATGGCGGCCAATCATAGAAAGCAGCAGAATGTTGGGTGCATTACAAAATGATTAGAATATTCATTTTGTACTCTATACGTTGCCTTCTGAATGTTATGGAACTCTTAAGTCTGGCTCGGCCCCTTCCGGCTCGTGGCAAGCCGACCTTAGCTGACCGTTGATCATGCTTGGTAGAAGCTGTTTGCCTCTTACTGCCATAACTCGGTCTCTTGGCCCCGATCCGGCCAATCTATCATTGCGTATCAGACTGCAGGGCCACTCGTATGCCAATGGAAAATTAGTTCAACTCGGTTATAAGTTGCAACCAATGCCAGTGGCTTCAACGACTCGGAGACAGTCCTAAGTTGGAATATACGCTTAACACCTTAAGCGTACAGCGTATGTATGCTAGCGTACACACGCTATACGCTATACGATAGCGAATACGCTATACGCTCTTTTTAGGGCTGCCCGAAAACAAAATCGCAAAAAATATGCGGATTTCCTAGGTGAGCATTTCGCCGTAGTCGAAATTCAAATCCGCGGTCCAGGGAAACGGGGATCTGACAAAGTCGTCAGGCAAATGTTGAATTTCAGATCCCATCTAGGCATTGAAATCCATCCCTTCTACCGCATTGAACCCCACTTTATCTACGAACTCCAACCTGTCAAAATTAACCCCCCAACAAATCTCGCGGTACTTACCTGCAAGCCCTGTTGGCTAACCCTAACTCGTCATTTGGTTCCCGCTTTCACTAGAGTTCACTCACGCTACTTCGCTTTCTAGCTATTACGTCTACTCCACCTCCCATTGCATTCATCATTCGGATTCAGGATTATGCAAGGCCAAGCCTTAGTGAGAATAGGGAGTACTTTTATTTCACCCTGCCCGGAAAGTTTTTTCTCTGCCCGAAAAGGCGTATCTCCAAAACGAACCCCTAAGCGGATAGCGTATGTACGTTAGCGTATATACGATACGCGAATATACGCTGTACGCGTATATTCCAACTTAGAGACAGTCCTCATATCACTAGTTGAAGTATAGTCGCAACTCTCTCAACGTCGGGCACACCACTTCAAATCTTTAGAATCACACTTCACCACACTACTCACAGGCGCTCCAACCTCTGTGACTCCACCGCGAGGCAGCATGAGAAGCCTTTCCAACGCCTCGGTGGGGGAGCCCCCCGTGCTGCACTTGTCAGCTTCGGAGGTGAGCCCCATGGCTGCAAAGAGTGACTCCACTGACAGCTGCGGTGCCTGTGCATTCAAGGCAATGCCGTATGCCGCTTCCACACTCGCCACCAGCGCAAACGCCCAA